CTCTCTCTCTTCTCTCTCTCTCACCCCCCACCCTCCTCCGGGTGGCGATTCTCCAGGGGCAGCTCCCCCAGTATCTAGGACAGAATCTCCTCTAAGCGGACTCGGAAGCAGACGGCAGGTGGGCGGACTCGGATAGAGCACAGTCTTCCGTCTGCTGCGGGGCACTTGCCCTCCTTGCCCGGACCCACTGCTTTCTTCGTCAAGAAGCGGCGTGGTGCGTCTGCTTCAGAATTGGAGGGCGGCGCCCGCGACCCTGGTAGGGGAGTGTGGGCGCTGCACGAAGAGGGGTGGGAGGTGGCAGTGGGAAGTGGCAGTGGGAGGCGCCAGCCGAGGGGCCCCACACTCTGAGCTCCAGCGCGAGGAGAGAGGGGAGCGCGGCACTTGGCACACGCAGAGCCGAGCGCCCGCGGGTGGACACCGGCAGGCACCCCACGCCACCACCACCATGGCGTGCCCTCGGTACCTACGACCACCACAGCCCGTGTTCCTGCTGCTGCTGCTGCTGCTGCCGCCACTGTTACTGCTCGGAGCCGGTGAGTGTCGTCCGTGCGGATACGGAGCCGGATACTGTCGGGGTGTTGTAGGGAGAAGAGGGGAGCGCGTAGGCGGGGCCCTGGACACCGCTACCCAGAGGAGTAAGACACTGCACTGCCACCTGGTCCCGGGCTTCTGTCCCTCTGAGCCTGGGGAACTGGACGAGGGAGACCAGGGCGCCGGGAAGAGGCAGGTTCCCTGCCTAATAGACTGAACCGTTGTAGATGGAGTGTCAGCAGTGGCCAGTGCACCAAAGCATCTCCTTGCTCCGGGTTCCCCCTCTTCCCTCTTTTGAGGTGTGTCTGCACCAGCACAGAACAACCTGGAGCCAGGCCACTTCCACGACGGCATCTCTAAGAGGCAGGGAGAATCAGAAGCAGGACTCCATTTGCTCCATGTGGGCTTCATCTCTTCAGCCCCCTGTAAGGATTGGGGAAGTGGACTCTAGGTACAGGTGAAGAACTGACTTGTCACAAATTAGGGTTGTAAACTGCTGCTGGAACATGCTAACATTATTATTTGGTTGTATTGCTGAGAATATTGCTCACCACCAACCTACCCCCTTCAGGATATACTTTTTGTGACTGTTTTAGAGGAGAAAACTTGCTATTGGGCAAGATGGCTTTCCCCTGAAAGCTGCCCAGTACAGTGCCTTACCATATTATAGATAAACAATAGGTGTTTTATGGATTATGTAGTTCAAGGCTTGGTTTTAGAACCATGTTATTTCCTCATGGCTCCCAGGGAATGTGCCCATGGCCTTTGGGAGTAGGATGGGTGTGCTGAATCTTATGGTGGGGCTCCTGCCCGGAGCCTGAGTGGAGGGAATCCTGAGGCAGAGACCACACATGGACTGGTGACCTCACTCCACAAGGTACGTATTGGAGAAATGCAATTTTGGCTGCATGGCAGATATGGAAGGAAGGAGAGGAAGAACTATTTGTCCAGACTGCCTCCATCAGTAAATCAGGGCAGTGAGACATCACCAATCTGATTTGACTGCCCAGGAAGTTTCACTAACCCCAAAGTATGGCTGCATGTCAGGATCAGGGGTAAATGTTAACCACTCATCATTAACCAATTAAGTGGAACAAGTACCTCCTCATTATGGTGAAATTTAACATGGCTCCCACCTTCTTTTGAGCTGCGATGCCCCTAAATCTACTGCTGCTCAGATATGATGAACTATCAGCTAAGAAATTAGGTTTACTTTTGAAAATTGTTACGATTCAATATTTAGAAAAAATATTTAGAAAAAATATGCTAGAAAATGTATAAGGTCGAAGTTTCATTGCTTTAACTGCAATGCACTTGTTGGGTACCCACCAGAAGTAACATCTTAAACATTTAGTATTTCTCAAACTGTTTAAATTCATGTCCCCCTTTTTGTTAAGATAAAAACCTCATGGTTTCCTTAAATATTTTTTGAAACTTCACAAGCTGTTTTTTCATCTTCCACATATAAAATTACCAAATATGCTTTTTTGAACCACACATTCCCTTTGAAGATTCTGATATACCCCTAAAAGGGTCCCAACCTCTCTTTTCTCCATCCCCTCCATTGAGAAACTCTGATTTAATCCAATCCCCTCATCTTATATTTGGGAAACTAAGGTCCAGAAAGTGAAGTAAATTGTCCTAGGCAGGGCTGGGACTAAGGTGAGGTGAGTGAAGGGGGTGCTAAGAAACTCAGTAGTCAAGATAAAGAATATTTTAATGCGATATTTTTAAAAATCAAAACTAATGCCAAAAAATTCATGATGAACAAAATACTGGGAGTTTAAGTAAAAAGAACAGTGTCCTGCTGAGGCATATTGGGGCTTAAAGCAAAAGGAAAAATCAGTACTACTGATTCTGTCTTTGTTTATGCATTGGATATGGCACCAATTCTCAAACTATAGGGTGCATATTAGTCTCCAGTGAACTTGTTGAAATTCGGATTCTGATTTATCACCAGAGATTCTGATTCAGTAATTCTGGGATGGGACTCAGCAATCTGCATTTTACCAAGTAATCTAATTGATTATCATGTGATTGGAAGAGGAGGTTGGACTAACTCAACTCCAAGACCCCTCCTAACTTTGGGACTCTGATTGTAAATAAAGGGAAGGAGCCTGGAGAAGTTATAAAGGTGGCTCACAGAATGTCTCTGTTATCTGGTTCTTAAATAGTAGGAGCTCTCAAAGAACAAACACTGTTCTAGGCATTGCTGACAGAATAGTGATAAGATAGATATGGAAGTCTAAAGGGAGATATAATCAGAAAAAAATTAAGTAAAAAAAAATCAAGTGGTTATAAGGGCTCTGCAGACAATTAGAGTAAGAATGTATTAGAATAGCTAGAGAGTTATTTTACATTGGTTGGTTGGGGACGGCCTTTCTGAGATGACATTTAAGCGGTGAACTGAATTACTAGAAGGGTACAGCCAGGTGAAGATCAGGGGGAAGAGCATTCCAAGCAGAAAGAAAGGATGGCCGAATGTTTTGGGAGAATGGATTTAGAAGACGGAATCAGGGAGACCAATAAGGAGTCTTGACAGTAGTTCAGACAAGAGATAATGGTGGCTAGAGGTAATAATAGATATGGAGAGAAGTGGGCAGATTCCAGATATGTTGTGGAGTTGACAGGATTTGTTGGATTGAACACGGGATGTGAAGGAAAGAGAAGAATTAAGGATGACTCCTGGATGTTTTGCCTTGAAAAACTGGCGGGGGGAGGGTGCAGGGTGATGGTGTTCTGTTACTCTTTGATAATAACCCTAAGTCCCTTCCTCCAGGGCTGAGCTATAACCAACCTTGGTATTCCCGAGTGAATAACAGAATCAGCAAGAGTTCCAGTTCCAACCCCAACCCCAACCAGTTCCCACTATAAGGTCTTTTAAGTGACTCAGAATTATCTCTCTTTTAGCATGCCCATGCACACCTTCAATTCTCTGCTTATGGTGCTAGCCCTGCCCATGGCATAGAGCTGCCCAGGGCCCTCCTCCCTGTGCCTGGCAGGGTCATCAGGCTCTGCTTCAAACAACTGTCCCCCTTCCCCTCCCTGGAGTCTGAGCAGCCTCTCTCAAATCCCTACCTCTTCTCGGGCTTGATCTGTTCTGTCCAGGTTGTGACAGCTGCAGACTCTCCACTTCTGCTGGGCTTCTTTCTCCTCATACTTATTCCTAAAGGTCTTTTGTGCCACCCCAAGACTTTCCTACCCAAGGCTTCACCTGGACTCCCCCTACCTTATCTTAGGACTTGGTACTTCTAGGCAGCTACTCTGACCTTATGTGAGCCTCACCTAGTCTCCCGCCCTCCACAGGGGACCCCCTCCCCACAGAGAGCCGGCTTGTGAACAGCTGTATCCAGGCCAGGAAGAAGTGCCAGGCCAATCCCATTTGTAATGCTGCCTACCACTACCTGAATTCCTGCACCTCTAGTGTAAGCACCCCATCACCTTCGGAGGAGCCATCAGTTTCTGCGGACTGCTTGGAGGCAGCACAACACCTCAGGAACAGCTCCCTGATGAGCTGTACATGCCACCGGCGCATGAAGAACCAAACTGCCTGCCTGGACATCTACTGGACCATTCATCCTGCCCGCAGCCTTGGTGAGGCCTCTATCCTAGAGTGGACTAAGCTAGGGAAGCTGGCTCTTGAGGGTTGTTTAATCCTTCAGCATATGAGCCACATGATATATTCTGACAGGGATAATAATGAAGCTCTGCATGTGACATCAGTAAGAAGTGGAGGGAGGAATTGGTAGTATCTTTTGGGCTCTCTAACATTGCCCTCTCTTTTCCCTACTTCTCCCTTTCTTACCTGACAATGCATAGCCTCTGAACCAGGCCGAGGCCCAACTTGGGGAGCTCCTGGAACAGAAGGGTATGGAGAAGAGGGGGAAGAAAATGGTCTTAACTCATAAACAGCTTCAAACACAATGTAATCCATAAATTCAGAGAGACTGGGAGGCAATGTCCTGATCTCACCTTTAACAGAAGGATACTCATTAGCCAGGCAGAAGATGGTAGAAGAAGGCAGGCACTAAGAGAGCCAAAGAGAGGAGCTTTCTCTGACTCTTTCCACAGACCCCTCTCTGTGTTAGTTAGTTTTTACTGGACAATGCTGTAGTAACAAAGGTTTACTTGAAAAGAGGTAACTTGCAAAACAAAGGTTTAGTTCTTGCTCATGTTCTGTGTTGGCTGTTTCATGTGTCCCCTTCATTCTGGGATCCAGGCTGAAGGTGCAGCCTCTATCTGAGATGTTCCTTCTCATGGCAGAGGAAAATGAGCATTGGCAAAACCATGTTATGGTTTTAAAAGCTTCTGTTCAGATGTTACATAAAATACTTCTGTTCACATTCCATTGACAAAGCAAATCACAGGGTGCACAAGCCTAACATCACAGGGAGACATGAAAATTACATGGCAATAAGTGAGGAGATATAATCCTATAGGGAGAGCAAAAAACAATACTACAATGTCCATAGTCCACTTGGTCAAAATATTCTTTTTCCTCCCTTCCACAAACAAAATATACCTACCCACTTTCCAAGGATGATGTGCTGCGTTCTATCCAAACATGACATCAGGCTCCAAGTCTAGGATCTTGTGATAATTTCTATATCAGGTTTGGTTCCTCTTGATCTAGAAACTTACAGGCAAGTCATCTAACTCCCATACATACTCAACGTACAATAATGGAGCAGGGACAGGAGAACCACAACAAACACTCTCAGAAAGTGGAGGAATGGGAGGCATATAGCGGTCATTGATTCATAGCAACTCTGAAGTCCTGCTAGATAAATGTCACAAGGGCTGTCTTCTCTGGGAGCAGGGGTTTTTCTTTAGTAAGGTCCTCTTTTTGCTCCATGGGAGAGTTGCTCTAGCCACTGTTCTCCAGGGCTCTTGGCCCAGCTCTCTGGAAGATCCTTCCTTTTCCATTACAGTAAGTCTTCACTTAACATCATCAATAGGTTCTTAGAAACTGACTTTAAGCGAAACGACATATAACAAAACCAATTTTACCATACGCTAATTGATATAAATAAGAGTTAAGATCTTACAGCATATTTCTGGTCTCAAAAACATCACCAAACTTCTAAATAATATTAAACATTGAAATAAACATGAGCTCTACATACATTTAAGAAAGATTAACATTAACAAGTAAGGTAATTATTTTCCAACCTGTTTATTCAGTTTGGGTCATAGGTGGCTAGAACCTATCCTGGCAGCTCAGGGTGCAAGGCAGGTACCAGCCCTGGATAGGATGCCCATCTGTAGCAGAGTGCACACACACACACACACACACACACACTCACACTCACTCACTCACTCACTCACTCATGCTGGGACAATTTAGATACTCCAGTTCACCTAACATGCACATATTTGGGATGTGGGAGGAAACTGGAGTAAAAAATATGCAGATATGGGGAGAATGTACAAACTCCACATAGACAGTGGCCCCTACTGGGAATCAGTCTTTTCCCCCCTCAACGCTATGATGAAAAACATTGAACCAAGTGACGTTATCCAAGGAACTGCTGTATTTTCTTTGGCCACATCTGAAAAGAGCATTGGAGACTCCAACCGTGTTGGAGAGTAGGCAGCCTCCTGTCCAAGGAATGTTGCAGCATTTTAAATCTCAAAGTCACAGTCTTTTTAATCCAAACTGGTGGCTCTTAGCAGTACAACTCTCTCAAAACATAATTGCTTTTTATACTTTGATTTCTGTCACCTCTTATGCTGGTAGTAGCCTTTCCTAGAATTCTTTTCAAGACATGCATCTCTTTCTAGACTGAATTAGAAGCATCTTGCCCTTATCAGCCTTCTGTGAGAGAGCCACTACCTTCGTCTTTTTTTCCCTGAGCACTTTTTTTTAACTGGCAAGATTTATTGGATACCATCTTAATCAATGGGAGATCTCCACAAAGGGCATGATAGCCACAAACTTGATTTGGTCTTTTCTCCAGTGCTGAGTTGTAATAGACTTTATTACTCAAAGTATTTTTCAATGTTATCTTTTACCATTTGAATATGAGAAGCAGTTGTTTCTCTTAATACTGCAAGTACTGGAATTTCTGGATTCTCCCTTTTCTGTTTCCTCTCTATTTGCAAACTGGCCAGTTCTTCTCTGAGCATCTTTCTTGTAGTACCTTGCCAAATGCAGCCAATAGCAATCAAGACAAACTAGTAACTTGCTTCTCAGCTTCTTCCCCTTAAAACATGAGCTTATTCAGGACATCATCCTTCTTCCAAATTTACCACCCACTAGTCAGTCCCAAAGCCAATACTATATATTTAAATTTTTTTTTGTTATAGCAGTGCTCCACTTTTAGATACTAATTTCATTTTTAGTAAGAATTTCCTAGGTTATGCTGCAGTAACAACCAACTCACCCCCAAATCTCTAGCTTTCAACAACGAAAATGTACTTCTTGCTCATGTTACACATTTGCTGCAGGCTTCCACAAGTTAGCTTTGTCTTTGTTCTACCTGTCTTCATCTGGGGATCCAGGCTGGTGGGGGAGAGCAACAGCAGAACCATGTGATGGTTCTTAAAGCTTTTCCTCAGATGTGATTTACGTCACTTGAGTGCACCATCCACAGGCCAAAGCAAGTCACATGACCAAGACTTACAGTGGGATGGGGAAGCATACTCCTCTCATACAGGGTCTGAAAGTCACATGGCAACAGATGGGGATGTATAATCTTCCCACAGGGTGGGTAGCAAATAATTGGAAACAGTAATACAACTTACCACCTTCCTTCCCTGCTTTCCACTCTTCATCCTAATAGTTTCAGTTTCACAGCTTCCCCTGAGAGTTCTCCTTGGATCCTCTCGCTGCCTGCTTCGCCCTTAAGAATGTCAGGTCTTCCCAAGTATCCAAACCATCCTCTCCTGTTTGCCTGATGTCATCCATGTTTCTTCCTTCCCAAAGATGCATTCACAAAGGCTTATTAGATGACAAACCTGCAAACTCACTTCTCTCTCTTCCAACAAAATTTATTAACCAACATGTATATGAGCTATGCAGTGATTTTATAAGACCTAGCAATCCCCCTTAAGAAACCCACAGCACCTTGGAGGTGACTGAGAGAGATGTGTTTCCTTTGAGATCACTGTATCTTCTTTCTCTGCTTTTCTCAGTCAGGTTCAGGGACCTGGCCGCACTTCCATTTCTTCAGCATGCAATGCATCTGCATAACCAAGTGGTCAAGCCTGGAACAGAGTCCACCAATGCCCCTTCTCCAATAGCAAGAGAAAACAAAACAGAGTCCCATTGCCTGCTTATGGACTCACAGGCACTATACCTAGTGGTTAGGAGCAGAGATTCTGCAGTCAGATAGTCTAGGTTTCAAATCTCAGCTCCACTTCAACAGCTCATATCAGCCTGAGCAAGTAACTTAACCTCTCTCATCCTCAGTTTCTTCTTACCTACCCAAAGCCCTCTTAAGAGGATTAAATGAGAGTAAATATATAGGGATAGATAGAATCTGTGTGTGTTTGTGTATCTTTTCACTTACACCATAGTGGCCAGCACACAGTGTGCTCAACATGATAGCTTTACTGTTCTCATCATTAAACCCAGTTTATTCGTTGGGCCCAGCCTATGCCTTCATGGCTCTGTTTATTCTTACCTCTGCACAGCTTGCAGCTAGTTAGGTAGAGATGGTGCCTTTCCCTTTTTTCCACAGGGCTTTGAGGTCTGACTCAGCAGCCTCAGCCCCTCCTGCTCCTGCCCCCAACCTGGTCCTCAGGACTCTGGTGCTTCCCACCTTATCTCTAGGTGACTATGAGCTGGATGTCTCCCCCTACGAGGACACGGTGACTAGAAAACCCTGGAAAATGAATCTCAGCAAACTGAACATGCTCAAACCAGGTGTGGAGGGAAACAGAGGCTGAGGTGTGGGGGCTGGGCCTAGACCCTGAGGGAAGGGTGGCTGATGGGGAACACAAACTGGGGGGCTTGTGGAGGAAGAGTCCTCACCTGCCAGGTAACTAAAGCAGCATTGTGTAGGGTGAGAGTCTGAGCTGTGGGTCATGGTCTGGTTTTGCAAGAATCATCAAAGAGCATTGTTTATTAGGGAGGCATTTAAAGAGAGCCTATTAGGACTCCCTGGTTTCAAAAGGTATGTCTCTATAAAGGGTTTGGTGGGCGTGGCAGCAGTCCCAGAAAAAATGTGTTTTAATGGAGTATTTACCCTCATTGGAGCAGCCATGGTCCCCAAAGACTAAGAAATTGCTTGTTTTCAACCATTCTGAAGGGATGGGCGAGGTGTTGGGCAGGGAAAATGGTTAGAGAGAGTGTGACTCCTCTGGGGTGACTCAGGGTGGGGAGCCATCTGTCTGGCAAGGGATATGATGCATGTTTTTCATGAAAGGGAAGCTCTTGTATTAATTTGGAAGGGAATGCACACATACACACTCTTTTTGAGGAAGATGTGAGTTTTGTTACACAGTCCTATATATTAGAATTTTGAGAGAAAAGCATAGAGATTTATACATAATAAATCCTAGTTACAAGGAATCCAGGAATTACCTTACTCCATTGTTCTGACTGCTGGAATATTCTGTTAATAGAAATATTCCCATAATTTCCCAAGACTCAAGAGTATGGGAACCTTTTGTGCATGCATTGGTCAATAAAAGACAGGCAAGTGATATTAATACTGAGCGGAATGGACAAATGTAAAACAAAACAAAAATCCTAAATAGAATTTGGCTGCATCTGTTTTGCACAGTTCAGAAAATGCTTTAGATTGTTGTAGGGCCTCTAGGCTATGATTTCCACCATGAGATCTCACTCAATGCATAGGATTGAGGAAAGGGTTTTGGTTATTTGAGCTTTCTGGCTGCTTGAATTGTAGATAAATAGTGTTAGATATACATGGTTGTTGTTGTTGTTGTTTTTTTAACCTAGTCAAGCTGAGGAATAGGATGGTGATGGCTGGTAAATACCAGATTTGTTCGTGTGTAGAGGGAAAGCCCTGGATTAGAAGTGGCTTACTCGGAGCAGTCCTCCCTTTCTTCCTACCCTCTACTACCATGCTTGTTGAATCAGAGGGTTGAGGGGGTTCCTAGGGAAGCCGAGTTTGCAGAGAGTACTAGTGACTTGGTTCCACCACTCTCCCCACAGACTCAGACCTCTGCCTCAAGTTCGCCATGCTGTGCACTCTTAATGACAAGTGTGACCGGCTGCGCAAGGCCTACGGAGAAGCGTGCTCAGGGCCTCGCTGCCAGCACCACACCTGCCTCCGGCAGCTCCGAGCCTTCTTTGAGAAGGCATCGGAGCCCCACGCACAGGGCCTGCTGCTGTGCCCATGTGCACCTGGTGACCTGGGCTGCGGGAAACGCCGACGCAACACCATCGCCCCCAGCTGCTCACTGCCATCTGGGACCTCCAACTGCCTGGAGCTGAGGCGTCTCTGCCTCTCCAACCCACTGTGCAGGTGCAGTGGGCAGGGTGCACACCATTCCTCCCAGGCCGCCTTCCCATACTGGTGCTAGGTCTGACCCCTCAGGGACCATGGACTGGCTTCACCCAGCTGCCTTTGATATTTTCTGATACTCTTTTCTCAAAAAGAGTATATAGTTTTTTCTTTATGTGAAAACTTCAGAAAATATAAAAACATATAAAATATCACTCAACATCTATCACCTGAAGATAATCTACCATACTTTGGGAGCATTTCCTTCCAGTCTTTTTCATACACAGATAACAAAATTTGACATTCTGGGAATATATTTGCATCTTATATCGTATCTTTTTCCACTTAGGGTACCTATCTCGTGAGCATTTTTCCATGGGGCAATATGCAATAGTAGCGAAGACAGGCTCTGAAGTCAGATAGATGTGAATTTAAATCCTGGGTCTGTGTGACCTTGAGCCCATCACTTTACGTAAAATTCCATCACTTAACATAGAGTTTTATTTAGTCTTTTGTGGAAACTGGGATAATAATGCAGACCTCATAGGATTTTTGTGAGAGTTAAATTACGTAATTTATGTCAGGTGCTTCACTTACTGGTGCAGAGTAAGTATTCAATAAATGGTGATGCTTATTTTGTCATTTACTGTCCTTTGACAACTTGATTTTTTAAGTGCCTACATCTTATTCCATCTTATGGATGCCCTATACTTTATTTAATCATTCCTTTATTGTTGGATGTTTTAATTGCTTTATTGCTATAAATAATGCTGCGATAAGTATTACTCTTGTTCTTTAATCTTTGTGCACAAATCTAATTATTAGGATTTGTTGTTACAAGTGCTATGACCAAATCAAAGGATGTGAAGGTAGTTGCTCCATATTCTCTAGCCAAATTCTGATCTGGCTTTCCTCTGCCTCTTCAGGCCAAAACAGCCACTAAATTGAAGTTATCGTACATTCAAGTGACATTCGTTGACACTGGGAGTCATACCAACCTTATTTTGCAACCTGGTTCTACCATTTACTTCTCTGTAATCTTGGGCAAGTTACTTAATCTCTGAGTCCCACTTTCCTCTTCTGTGAAATATTACATAGTCAGAGCTCTCAGTAATCATACTATTACTTACTAAGTACTTACTATGGGCTAGGTACTATTTTAAGTATGTACTATCTAAACCTCACAAGAACCCAGTAAGATAGATGCTGTTTTAATTTTTTTTATCATCCTTAGTTTACAGATGAAGAAACCACATTAAAGAAAGGTTATAATTTGCTCAAGTTCACCCAGGGAGTAAGTCAGGTTTAGAATCAAGGAAGTCTGGCCTAGAGTCTATGCTCCTAATCTCTCTGCCAAACTGCCTATTATTGTGCTGGTAGCTATTACTATTAGGTAATATGTGCTGGACTAGATGATTAAGATATTGTTCCTTTCTTCAAGGAGTTTGCATATGAATGGGGGTGACAGAGAAGTAAAACACCAATCTAACAATCAAAATATAAGGAAAACTGCAGAAATTTTTACAGAAAAACATATTCGTAATTCCCAACATCCAAAGATAATGAGTTTTACCTATTGTAGGATGAATGTTAATAATAACAATATTTAACATTTATTTTTTAAACACAAATACCAGGCACTATGCTAAATGCTGTACATATATTCTCTTATTTCGTTCTCACAAAAATCCACAATCTCTATTTACAGTCAAGGAAACTAAGGTTAAAGAACCTGCTTAAGCTCTCATTCCTAGGGTTTGTGGAGCCCAAATTTAGAGTGATATGCTATAGGAACTGGGATAGTAGTGCATTTAATTGTGACAGGAGCAGGCTTCACTGAGAAGGAAGACCTGGGCCAGGTTCTGAAGGCAAAGGAGGATTTGGCTAGAAGATGGGCATGTCAACTAAAGGGGCAGCAAGGGTGAAGGCTGCAGGCCAGACCCTCAGTGGAGACTCTTGAAATTTCCCTTCTTCCAGATCACGCCTGGCAGATTTTCAGACCCACTGCCATCCCATGGACATCCTAGGAACCTGTACTACAGAGAAGTCCAGATGTCTGCGAGCCTACATGGGGCTGATCGGTGAGCTGGGGCTATTTGTGGGGAGCGCACAGATTATCCAGCACTGGGGATGAGAATACTCTGGCTACTGAACCCAGATGGAGTGCTCCTGAGAGAGGTGGGAGAGGGTGGGAGCTGAAGTTGGGGTTGACCTAGGCCCTGACAATCCCCTCTTCACCCCACAGGTACTACCATGACCCCCAACTTTGTCAGCAACATCAATGCGAGTGTTGCCTTAAGCTGCACCTGCAGAGGCAGTGGCAACCTGCAAGAGGAGTGTGAACGGTTGGAAGAGTCCTTCTCCCACAACCCCTGCCTCAGTGAGTATGCTCCACCTGCTCCCTCCTCTGTGGCCAGGTCAGCTGGATCCAGGGAGAGGGAAAGGGCCAACTTCGTGGTCCACACTGGCTCTATCTGTCTCCTGCAGACAGGGCAGCCCCCTCCTCAGCATAGGTTTACATCCCCCAAGCCTGGTGCTTTCTTCCTTTTCCCACTCTCTGAGTGACCCCCAAGCTGCCTGTTTAACCTGTCTGGGCCCCAAGGATACTCTTCAGTTCAAGGAATAAACAAGCAGAATAAGACAATATCCATTCCCACCTGCCACCCATCTATCCCCTTATATCCCAGGGTCCCTGAAACCTTCCCTTTCCTTCCTTGGGAGCCTGAGAAATCTGCAGCATATACCCACTTCCAGCCTACCTTCTCTCTTCTCCTTAGCGGAGGCCATTGCAAGTAAGATGCTTCTGCACAGCCAACTTTTCTCCCAGGACTGGACAGACTCTACCTTAGCCATTATGGAACGCCAGGTAGGGCCTCCTCTATTATCCTCCTCATACCTTTACCTAACCATCTGAGGGCAATCCAGACAAGGCAGACAAGGGAATGAAGGGGGGTGACCTTGTTGTCACGAATATTGTAGACCTCTAATGGATACCGTGACTGAGGCTGAGGTGGTGAAAGGCGTGGAGCTGACTCTTGCATTTCTTCCACAGAACAAAAACCCTGCTCTGAGGCCACAGCCCTGGGTGCCCTCCCTTTTCTCCTGCACACTTACTTTGATTCTGCTCCCAAATTTCTGGTAGCTGGACTCCTTGGAGGCCCTTTTCTCCCTCTACTACACCCAGCCTGACCTGCTGCCTACGAGAGGTGAGGAAAGGACAGCATCAGGAAGGAGGTGCAGTACACAACGTGACAACCCTGACCACCCCACCCCTGTACATCCAACTTTCTCCAGATAAGGCCACAATAGAAACTGACTGGCTAAGTTCTCATTCCCTCTACTTCTGACTGACTCAGGCTATCCCTCCTTAGGAATTGGTCACCACCGTTTAGCCATATCTTCTGGTGATAAGCAGCTCTACTTAGCTCTCTCCTGATCCCTTCGTCCTGCCCATCAGGATCACTAGGCTCTAACAAATCCGTCATTCTCTGTTGCATTCTCCAGGTAGGCAGGGCTGGGTATTCTGAGGCAGCCTAGAAAGACATTCCCTATTGTTAGGAAGGCTGGAGCAGGACTCTTGCCCCCTTGTCTCCGCTGGATGAGGGACAAGCTGCTTGCCTGCCCTTCCCTGCCCTGCCCTGCAATCCTACAGAGCACTTGAGCATCAGGCGCCAGAGCATTCGGGCCTTGCTTTCTTCCTGCTACTCTCCCAAAGTACCCCTGGCCTCTTGGATCTTGATTAAACACTTTGACTTAAAACTTTGCTCTTTTTCTATTTTCTCACATTGTGAATTTATACACAACTAGAGATTTTACATAGGCCAGGTGACCAAGAGACACAGCGACTCTATCACCAACTGCTGTATGACCTCAGGCAAGTCTCTCAGCCTCTCTTAGTATTTGACATAAAGTTGAAAAAAAAAAAATATGTGAGACTGTGAATCTGGTTATCTGTCCTAGCTTCAGCCATTTCTGAGATACTGCCTGGGATCTGCCAGAGCAGCTGAGAATGGAGGGTCTTTAGTCAACCACAGAATTTATTGAGCACCTGCTTATGTTACTGGTCTGCTCCGTACTATAATGGGGGCCAGAGGAAAGGGGAAGCTGCTCCTTGATCTCATTTGCCATCCTGTTGGGATAAAGAAACAGCCACCCATACAAAGTAGTTAGAAGAATATATTTCCAGAGCTGAGGACATTTGCCTATTAACTCATTCACTCACTC